CCACCCGCAGGCCAATGGTATGGTCGAACGACTTCACCGTCCATTAAAGGCTGCCCTCACCGCGCACGATTCTCCGCAATGGACACTACGATTGCCCATCGTCCTTCTTGCGTTCCGGAACTTGGTCAAACCTGAGCTCGGTTGCTCGCCCTCGGAACTCGTGTACGGCACAACGCTGCGATTACCTGGTGAGTTTTTTCACATCTCTACTCCCACGGTAAAGGAACCCCCCGAATTTCTCAGGTCTCTCCGTTCTCAAATGCAGTCCCTACAACCGACGCCTGGCACGAACCACGGATCGCAAACTGTGTACATTCCCAGTCAGCTGTCGTCTTCCAGCCATGTGTTCGTGCGCGTCGATGCCAAACGCCCCCCGCTCCAGCCTCGTTATGACGGACCCTACGCTGTGCTAAACCGCCGCGAGAAGACCTTCCAAATTCAAATGCATTCGAGGCAGCCGTGGATCTCAGTGGACCGGCTGAAACCTGCTTTCATCCTCAACGACAACCCACCCGCGGACCACACCTACGCAGCCAGTGAAGTGGTTCAACCTGCATCGAACAAAAAACGCGTCCGTTTTTGTTTCGCGGGGGGGGAGTAATGTGGCGACGGTTGTCCCACATGCTGTCATCTGTTCCCCAGCGGTCGTAGCGTCGTCACCACACTCACTGCAGCAGTCTCTCACGGTGCCGTCTTACGTTACGTTCACGCCGCTCCGTCTACCGTTACATTCACGCTGTTCCGCGCTCGCCATTGTCCGCGATCTTAATAAAGAATTTCTGTGTCATTTATTTTTACTATACCAACTCATACTTGTCATTAGCATTCAACATTTATACATGTTACTTTAATAAAATAAAATTAAACAATTATTTAAAATACGTCGGCATTCTCAGTTCTTCCGCCTAACCTCAAATACCGTTGCCGCAGGAAAAGTGCTTAGACTGCCGCACCACCAAAAAAAAAATAACCAAACATTTCTTATGATAACAGCGATTTTATCATTGCTCTCAAAAGTGCTTCAAATGTTGGTGGTTGAAGTCAAATTTAAAGGTTTGTATATTTTTTTATACATTAAAGGACACTCCAAAAGCAGACTTTTGTAGTTAAAAGTCCTTAAACATTTTTTTTCCAATTTTATAACTTAAGTTTTATTTTACAGAAGAAAATTAAGGGTGACTTGGAACACCAAAAATGCCAAACAAATACGTGTAATGAACCGCAAGTTGTATAGTTTAATTGAATGATGTTTATTGGTATTTATTGTTACAACATTGTTTTCATCAATCTTTTTTACATTATTTTCTTTTGAATATAAATTTTTACTCCAAAGAGTTTAAAATAAAAATAAGTATTGAGGGAATTTACATAGAATGGTATGGATTGATTTACATGCAACTTACGGTTGTTTTCCTTAAGTTTGTTGAGATTTGTTTCCATCGTGGCTCATGGTTTTGGACAGCGTACGGAAATGATATCGGGTGGGGTCCAAGTGAAGTCTGAGTGGCTTTGTGACGTCCTTGGATTGGATTGGCACTGGTAGTTATCTGTGGCGGCTGCTTTGACGTGACAATCGACGTTTGTTTTAATATATATTGGTCAGTGGTGGCTCGTCTTTGGCGATGTCTTCACGACTGGACACAATATATATACACGTTTCGGTGGCTCGACTACAACTAAACTGTAAATGTACGTATTCGGCGGCTTGACTCTGACGGTGGAAGGGCGAAATACAAATTAGCAGGAAAAGTGAGTTTTTGGCGTTTTTGACATTTCGCCGCCACCGATTCGCCGCCACCAGGTCGCCGCCACCGTTTCGCCGCCAGACCAAATTTCCGACCAACTCTTCGAATTTTGAAAATGTATTCACATTTCGTTTATTATAGCAATTTTATTGCATTTTTAATCATATTAGGCAATTACTTATTTTTGTGTAGTGTACCTAAATCAAGTTTTAAAAACGAAAGGGGGTGTGTCGTAAATTAGTAAAGATAAAATATCTGTATTCTATGCTTTGTGAAATGTATAATGTATTAATATATTATACTTTAGCCTTTTATCTTATTAAATAATTTATTTCGTTGATTATAGTAACTAGTAAGTCGAGGAGGTTCTATATTATATTGTTCAGTCGCCTAGTGGTTGCAATAAAATATTATCGTGTAGGTACAATTTGTTTTAAGATGCAAGGGTCAGATTAATAATCAATATTCACAAGTCATACGACTACAACGCAAATGATTCTTCTGTATATTATAGTAGAGTAGTACTATTCAACGCACAAACAAATTCCTAAAATATAGGCTTTACAATATGTTCCGGGAGGAAGTGACCGACCGAGGTCATTTGAAAATATGCCAAAAATAATGAAAAATACCATTTAATAAGTGGATCTAACTTTTTGTTTTTGATGTTATGGGCAATTAACTTTTTTTATCAAAAAAAAATCTATCAAGCATTTATTTATTTATCGTCAAAACTTTTCAACATTTTGACGAAATTTATTTCTATTTTGAAGCTACCTATTTAATTGTCCTATACTCCTATCAACATACGCAATCGGACAATTATTTTTATTACATTAAAAAGTAAACATTTTTTGTCAACAATTATTATTTTTAAAATTACTAGGTAGGTACTCCAAATAATTTGGTTTTTACTACGGGTTAATTTTTAAATGTTTTACTTTTTTCAATTTAATAAAAATAATATGCACATTTCTGATTTAATTGAGAATGTTTGTTGATAAACTAAATAGCTTTAAATAAATTAAAACAATTCCTTCAAAATGTTGATGTTGAAAAGTTTTGAAGATTCATAAACAAATGTGTGAGAGGCATAGGGGTAATTTGGGGGGGGGGGTTAGCCCCCCTAGTTTTATTCAAGCCCCGCTAAGTTTTTAAATATATTCATTCTTAAATGCACCTAATAAAAAAATTATACGGGTCCGTATTGATTTTATAAATTTAGCCCCCCCAAATCAGTTGTCCAAATTGCGCCTATGGTGAGAGAGGTTTAGTTTTGATAAAAAAAGTGAATTACCCATAAGTTAAAAAATAAAAAAGTTAGATCAACTCTTTAAAGAGTATTTTTTCATCATTTTTGGTATACTTTCATATTATGACTTCCCCCAGGACTCATTGTATAATAGAATATATTTACAATAATATTATATTATACACCTATATTATAGGTATTCAAATTTTTTTTTTTTAAAAGCAAAATTAAACTTTAGAGTTTAGAGTCTATATATATTATATGTATATTAATTGTATGCACCTACCTATAATTATTAATACAACAGTATGGTATGAATTATAAATGTGACTTGTTACTGTTACAATTGCTTGTCGTGTAATTTAAATATCTATATGATTTTTACTGACTATACTTTCAGGTTACAATTTTTTTTTTTTAAATGGTAGGTAGATCCGGCGCAACCGCAGTGTCACCAGTGCACCTGCACAGGGCACCAGGCAAATGTAGGGCCCCGCGATAACAAAGCTCACTGCAGAAAAGCAAATCATTACTGAATAAATATTATATAATTATGAAAAGATAACATTTTAAAACTACAGTTGAAATAATAGTGATCTCCGTAGGTACGATTATACGTGTAACCAAACCTTTACTTAAAATTTAATTTTATATTTCTATAATTTAAAAATCCTCAAAAATGTTTAACAATATTTAATATTTACGATACATTTAAGAGCATCAACAACTTAAATCGTAATTAGGTACCTACTACCTACTGAATTAGTTACTTAAACGGTCTAATGTCTAAAGCTAAACTAGCTAGTATGTAGGTACCATAGGCGTGCGCATAATTAAGTTTCTATTGTAATAATTATTATTGTTCATTTATACATGTGTATTGTGTATACAAAACTGATTTTGTATCACAAGAATAATAATATAAACCTTTATAGTTTATTTATAAAAAACTGTTATGCAAAATATACAATCTTTTTACACCTATCAATGTTATTTATTTTATGAACCTACCTAACCTAACCTATGTAAGTCCAAAAATATAACTCTTTTCCATCAAACCTATTCCTATATATAAAGTGTTTACTATATAAATATATTAGTTAGTCTATCTAGACTATAATACCTTCATATTATACAGAATTGACCGTATACGTAGGTACTATATTCAAAATATATTTATACTTTACGTAGACACTAGACGTGTTGGTTATAACCACGGTTATCTACACAGGTTGGAGCACGCGGCCTTATCACTTGTCGAAGTGGCGACTATAGGAACTATTAGCGCTAGCTGTACTTGGCCCGGTATGGCGGTATATTATTATAAATTATAATACTTACTATTAATATTACCTATAATATATTATAATGTATAAGTATAATAAATTATATATATATTTTTTACTTTTCATACATACAATTTCTAATTATATAATTTAACACGTTTGTTTTTTAACTTTTCCTCCACAAAACTGTACATAAGTAATATTGTTTGTTCATTGGAATGTAATTAGGGAAAGGGTTCATTATAATTACTTTTGAGTTTTGAATATTAGGTAATTAAAAATAATTTTTACCATTTTAACTCAAAAGCATTCATATATACATACATTTAGTAATTAAAATTATTATCAACATATTGTGTTAAATGACAATCACATAAATATTTTAAAATCTCAGTTGAAACCACAAAACCATAAGTACCTATTACTAATAACGTCTCAGCAATTGTGTAATTGAAAGTCACAGTACCTAGTTGAGTCAAGCTATGAAAGTGAAGATTCATGTAGCCTGGAAAATAAAATAAGTTTGTTAAATAAATTCATAGTTATTGTTATTTTATTAAATAAGCATACAATTAATAAGCATAGAAATAAGCATACAAATAAGCATAGTTAGCATTCACTTTGCACTTTAATTGTAAATAATGATATTTATAAAGATTATGAATTGTAATAATAACATTTAGAAAACTATGAATGGTAATTATAACATTTAGAAAACTATGAATTGTATAATTTAGCAATTTTTTTCTTTTCTCTTGCAACTTTTTGGAATTTGAGATTTTCTTGGTATGTATGCTGGCGCATTCTCATTTGTAAGTAATACACTATAACTTCAGAAGCAATTTCAACTTTATGAAAAGAACAGCTAAATTTAAAATTCAAATTATTTTGAGTTATATCATTGATTACATTTTCAAATACATAAAAATCATTACAGTGTTTTGCAAAAGAGTGTTCAACAATGTTTAAAAATTCAAATAAAGCTGTATTTGGATACATCAGCTTCCCATTTGTTTTTAAATTTACTAGTTCTGCACAGGGATGATCAGCGTTGCCTTCTTTAAAATAACTTATGCACTCATTACACTTTTGCTTTTTTAAAATTTGTTTAGTCACATACCCACAAATATAGTAGATTAAACAATCTCTGGTACTATTTTCCATGCTGTTGTCAACTTGAGGAAGCACATCACAGGGTTCCCATAGGCCATCTTCAATTAATTGATCTAATTTTAATTTGAGTTGGTTAATTTTTTCAGTTCGCTGAAAAGATTTATTATGAAAAATTTCTTTTAAGTCAGATATAGAAATTTTAGGAGCATCCATAGTTGTAATTGTACAGTTGCCATGTTTAGGAGGCTTAAGCACAGAATAAACCGAAAGAATTTTATAAAGATGGAGAAAAGTTGGAGTTGTTGGGTGATCGTTTGGCCCACATGATTGTCTTATAATGCCAAAGAATTTCTGTAACAAAATAAGTTATACTATACAGTGTTATAAATATGTCATTTTTAACTTAATATATTATATCATTTTTTTTATAAATAATAATTACTTCAAGTGGGTCTTGGCACATTTTACCAGTAAGAACATAATCATAACCACATGTTTCTAATAAGTATTTTGACAGGTCAATTGTAGAAGTAATCGTCACTCGAAGTCCTTGAGCCGTTTGTTTGGTTAAAAACTCTTCTGGACCAATACTGCCATCAATCATTTGATCTTCCCAACAGTTGATATAGTGCAACGCATCAACAAATCCCTAAAATGATCAACATACATCATTTTGATACATTTAAGTTGTTATTTTGGGAGACACTCATAATACCACGGTCATATAACCGTGCATAAAACCAATTATTTGTACTTCACTATTTTTTTTTTTTAATTTCCACTATAAACTAATGTTAGAATTCAATCAATTATATACTTCAAATTTATAAAAAAAATTGTACAAAAGTTGATTTAGTAACTAAAATTTAAAAATTATATTTTAATGCTTTTAAATTAATTAATAATTGCATTACTTGAAACCCTTTATCGTTAGTAGATTTAAGACCTTGCCACGGTAAATTCCGATTAAAGTTGTCAAACAAATTGTTCCAAAATTCAACAAAATTGGCAGTTTCTCCAGCATTTTTGAGCATAAGACTTCCTTTTGACTCATAGAAACGTATTGCGTTTGCCATACTCATACTAAAAACCTTAAAATAATAATGATTCAAGTTTAAAAATAAAACATTATTTGACAATATTATAACTGTTTATAATTTAAAATACAATATTTTGATAAATTTCATTTTTTAGTACCTGGGTACATAAGCGAACTCGCATTTTTGACATTGGAGTCAAATCTAGGTGCTGTGGTGTTATCCTAGGTACCATTCTTAAATTTCCTGGGTGTTTTATATCTTCTTTGTAAACTTCTTTAAAGTAGTCCCAGGAAATTTGTTTTGAATTAGGATGAAGCTATTAGACAAAATTAAATAATAATGATTTATTTCAACTTAGAAGGAAAATAATAATTAAAATCAAGAACCCTATCAAATATTCATTCAAAATATCTTTTGAACCACTATAATCTCGGTCTCTAAAACATAATTAATATTTAAAGTAATAGATAAAAAACGAAAGTTACCCTTAAATATTTATTATTATGTAACCGATTCCTGACACATTTAAATAAGTGTACAAAATCAGATAACACGTAGACTTTGCGGCTTGGGTCAATTGGGTGTTTGAAATAATTCTTTAAATTATCTTTAGTCCCATCAACTCCAAACTCTGTCCACATACGACGGTTTGTAGTAGCACCATCACATATTATACCATCAACATATAATCCAATATTCTCCATAAGTGATATTGCTTTTAAAACAAGCTGTGCTATTATTACACCTAATAACAATAATAATAATAATTTAATTGATCTGAAATTCTATACTCTAAAATACAAAATATCATAAAACATAAATTACAAAATATATTTTATAAGTTAGATAAAACTATACCTTTAACTTCCCCTTTTGATGCAAAACAACCTATGGTTTGACTAAAATTTGATCCCAAAGATTGCCACATAAAGACTAGGGCATGGTCAGCATATTCTTTGTGACAATTTTTATTTTCTACTTCACCACCATAGTCTTCTAGGCCCCAATAGGTCAAATTTGACGAATTTACAGCTAAACTTTTCCGTAAATTTACTGCATCAAATAACAATACACCATGTTTACTTCTTTCAAGCATTCCCTCACTTTTTTTTTGTAAAAGATTTAAAAAATCTTTGTCAAACCCACAAGTTGACTTTACTAATGACAAATGCTTACGCACAGTTTTTGGATGAGGCAGTGGAAGTAGAGCACTTGCTCTTAAGTACTTGTATGCTGAAGGAGATCGTATGTTAAATAAAAGACATAACATGAGCCAATTTTCACTATACCGTCTTGATTTTGAGTTTTTAACTCTACTAGCAGCAAAACACTCCATGATCATAGTTTTCTGTGATTCATTAATTCCATTTAATTTGTCTTTAATAAATTGTTCATTATATTCAGCCATATCTTTATGTGATTTACTAAGCTCATCTTGCAAATCACATATTTTTTTTTTAGTAATTGTTACCTTTCTTTGCAATGCATATGCTTTTTTTCTCATTTCAATGATTCTAGGCTTTTTGGATGGAGAAACTTCTAACATTTCTTTAGAACCAATAGCTTTCCTTTTTTCTCTACATGCCAACACATTTTTCAATAATTTACATTTACTACAATAAGTGTCTTTTGAACAATTTTGAATGGTGAGGAGACATTGTCTGTGCTGGAGAAAGCCTTTAGTTGATTTAGTGCACAAGTCTTTAGGAAAGTTTGGAAAAATATTTGCTATAGGACTACCATAACATAATCTTATTGATTCAAACTTTTTAATATTATTTGAAAAATCTTCAATGTTTTTTGCAACTTCAATACCGTGTTCTGTTATATCAATAAGTTTACCATTGACAGCATAAGACACTTGACCTTGCTTATTGACTTGTATACTTCTTTCAACAGTGGGTACTGAATTAGAGTTTGCAATAAAAATAACAAAACATATATCTGTATTTTCTACTGTCATAGGTAATTTCACCCATGGACTACATTGGAAGTTGGCTAACTTATTATACAAATTATCTAAAACATAAATATAAAATCAATTAAATTAACTATAGAGTATTATTTATTAATTCAATGATCCATTTAATCTCATTTACATTTTGTTAATTTGAATGAATTTAAAAATTATGCAGGTATAGTGTACTATCTCAAATGTAAATTATTTTTGTATTTCAATTCTATTTTAATTTACCTATATCTGTTTGATGCATGTCAAATTATTACTGTTTTTTATATTACATATTATGTTTAAATTAAAGAATTCAACTCATTCACTTTCAAACATTATTGATTATATAATGAGATTGCAATAAACTCTCATTATTATTATTCATTATTTTTTTTAAATTTAGGTAGTTTGTAAGTAGATTTCATATACGAATATAGGTATACATAATATTATTGTTAAAATTTTACCTTCTATAAGATAAGATTCTTGTTTTATTGAACAATTATTAATGCAATCTTCAGAATTTTCATTACTAAATTTACTTTTTGGTGTAATTGCATGACGAACAGCAGGCAACTTCCGATGTTTTTTTAGATTAGATAAATATGAAGGACCCGGGAAAATTGAAGGTATGGTTCCCTCTTTAAGCTTCCACTTAGTATATGGTACCTACAAAATTAAATTAATTACAAAAAAACAAAAAATAAATATTATCATATAAATACCTTTACTGAACCAGATTCCCAATACTTTATGATATCTTCTTCCTTGAAATGTTTTTCACATACATATGAATTATCTTTAAGTATAAAATCTTTTCTAGGAATACACCTTTGCCATTCACTTCGTAACTTAGAATCTTTAGGAGCACCAAATTGGTGCACTTTTTCAATGTTACTTTTGTACCCAGATGTACAACCAACGATTATACATTTAACCATTGTCAAATGAAATATTAAAAATTAAAATTAAATAACATTAATATTAAATACTAGATCAGGAAAAAAATACAATGTTGCATGTTCATGACGTACAGACAATGAGACAACAGCAGTTATCATCTACTTGGCCGTTCGCGGTTTTTTATTGTTCGATGTTTACAAGTTTACAACTCAAGAGTTGAATTACTTGGATACTGAATAGAGATAATAAATTGATAATAATGTAATCTAATAAAAATTATTTTGATTTATAATTTAGTTATGTACAATTTGTTCGTAAAAATGTTTAATTCCGAAATATAAGTTAAAAACATCTATAAATACTATCTTCTATATGTTAAAATAGGGCCAAGTACACCTAGCGCTATTAGTTGCGCATGGTCGCCACCACGACATAGCCAGTACACGGGTAGCATAGGCGTGAGCTCCAACCTGTGTAGATAACCGTGGTTATAACTTTACTATAATACTATACCTATATAAGTATATACAGTGGCGTAATTACGGGGGGGGGGGGATTTGGGTGTCGTATCCCCCATGAACGTTTTTTTTTCATCGTCAAACACATTTATACATAGATAATAGAAGATTATTCTATTATCTATGCATTTATATGTACTAATTTTCATGAACTAAGAATCTTCTATCTTCTATCTTCTTAGTTCATGCTAATTTTATTAATGTATATTTTATAGATAGTAAAAAAATCCCCCTAAACTCCATAATATTATATAATCATCCATCAATATTATCAAACCAATAGCAATATTATACCTACCCACTAAAAATAAGTGATGGATTTTCCACATTATCGGTTTATCGAAATATTCTCAATCGCAACGACTCTCCGGACTCTGACTTATTCCGTTAGTCTGTTACTATATGTTCTCATTTGGTAATAATCTACTCTATTAGCTGCACTCCGCTGCTTAAAATGCATAATGAATTAGCGTTAAGACCGCGTAGAGTGGATCTTTTATTGTGATTTGTGATGTAACTGTATCTAGTATCTAGGACCTAGGTATCAATAAAGTTAATGTTTAAATGTACCTAAATGTGAATATCTAAATATTATGCTATTATTTATTTTAATGTTTAGTGTATACAATATTACATACAGATCATAATGGTTGTATACTTGTATCATAGAACAATATTATATTGAGCGGTGCTAATTGCTTATATGATTAAAAAAAAAAATGTTGGGGGGGGGGGGGGTAATTGGTGAAATGTACGTTCATTTCATCTCCCCCCCACAACCATGACTAAATTACGCCACTGAGTAGGTATATAGCGGTCTCTTAAACGTAATAGGTATATAATATAATGCATGGATGTCGGATGAAATAAACAGTATTGTAAGTTGTAACCAAAACTGTATAACACTATATAACTATATAGTATTACCCGTATCACAAATATATTTGTAATACGAGCTCCAACAGAATGCCTGTTGCAGGATTCTGCAACTGCAGTAGAGTGTTAGCCTGTTACAGTGCAGTGGACCTTTAAATAATTGACTCATTTGATATAGGTACTACCTACTTTTTTAAATTTTTAAATTTGTCAATACCTAGTAAATAGTAACATTAGATAATTTGTTCCTGGTAGGATTATTTATAAATTCTGCAGACAAAAAACACACGTTGAGCTCAAGCTAGTGTTGAATCGAATAACACGTTGGTTAACAATAGGATAATTATTAAGTAGGTACAGTGTATACCTATAGGTATATTAAAATTTTTATTTAAAATCAAATACAATTGAATACATCCTATACCGGCATACCACCATACCGGCTATACCTTCGATCATTACGTAACTAACCTCAGTGCCTCAGTATATAACTAGTCGTTGAAAAATTAATGTTTCAAAGTATCAAGTATCAAGTATCTTTCGATACAATTTGTTTATGAAATGAGTGGCGTACTTCTGGTGGTGTAGACAAATATTTTAATTTCGAGCCACCAATGCTTCAATTTCCTTTGGAAATCCCCACCGGAAAATTGTTTACCTAAGACCTAACCAAACCTAACCTTTTTTAGTGTCCTAGTTGTACCTAATAATTAGTAGGTATAAAAAAATTACCGTTGTTCGCCAATTATAATTTTATAGATACTTGTTTGATAAACAAGTATGCAATTTTGAAAATAGAAACTATAGGTATACAAGTTTGTATGATTTTATGGTGTAAATGTGTACCACCACATTTGAAATTAACAAAATGTTTTTATTTATTTTAATAGGTAATTTATTGTAAATTTTGCAAAACTCATACAGTTTACTTACAAAATATTCGCATAAAATAGTTTCACGAATATTTATTTTGTTAGGGAGGGGGGGGGAGCTGGAGAACGGCTTCTATAGTGATAACCCCGGAAATTTAATCCCCGAAAAAAAACTGTATAACAAAAATGATGTACACCTACCTAAAACAGTAGTCAGTAAGACAGTCACACATATTCAGGAGATTTCAATAATAATATCTTTGTATGATTAAAAACAACAAGCCAATTTTTTTAGTCATAGTACATATTATTTTGTAATACAATATCAATAATATATAAATATAAAATAAATAGTCAATTCTTTTAATCATACTAAATTTGTTTTGAAATGTCAATAATATACCTAACTACATAATATATTATAATAACCATCTCCGTGACTCCGTTCTTAATCGTTTTTATCGTATACAATAATTTATCATTGAATCCAAATTTAACATTATCTTTGGGGACATAAGTACACAGAGGCTTGCTGAGGAATATTGAATAACCTCCGGGTTGGTTTGAAATTTGTTTCAAACAAAATATTTGTTAAATTTAGCGTTATAAATCTAGTTTAGGCGTTTAGCTCCCTCTCAAATTTTTTAATTTTTTTTTTGGACACCTATATATTATTATTACAACCAGTTTAAATTATTGTGCAAAAATTAATTCCCGGAAATTATTAGTTTTTATGGTAGAGCCTTACGAAGTTCCCGATTTTCAGTGTTTTGCGCTAACGAATTTTTAATTTTTTTTTTTAATACCTAATTAAAAATCAACGTTTTAAATATTATGGTGCGAAAATAATTCTGATACCCACCGTGTAGTTTTACATAACAAGTCGAGGGATGTATTCGATTTTAATTGTCCGAGCGAGCGCAGCGAACGAGAGACCACGCCGGTTGTATATGAAAATTTCAAAAACTTCTATTAACTAACTTTAAAATAAGTCTGCCCTCTAAATTCAGACTTCCCCATCGTATTCGGTACGTTAAAACAAATAAAATTCAAAAAAGGATAAAACAGGACTACCTAAAACCTATGGATATCTAATAAATGGTAAGACATAGTACTACATTTTTAATAAGTTAATTTTTTTTTTCTAAAATAATAAAAACTATTTAAAGTAAATTAACAACTGCTTCATTATCTATAAGATTAAATTAAAAATTATAAATACATAGATATTGTTTTTAATGTATATAAATGGATTGTTAAATAAAAAAAAATATTGATGGTAGGGACGGATCCATGGGGGGGTTAGGAGACCAGAGCCCTATATCATTGATCTAGATCTGTGCCTGATTGATAGTAAGGTAATTTGCTTTGTTTATGATACTTTATTACTTCTTAATGGATAAGCTCTATGTTAAAGCTATCATTGATTTAGCATTAGTTGAGCAATGGTAAGACGATAACTCTATAGAGCTAAATTTTGAGAAATCATAGTTTTTGCATTTTAGTATTAACAAATTAAATATGATATATCCAAATATAAAATAGTTCTGTATATAAGTACTACCTATATCTAGTCAAAATAATAATGGAAAAAAGATGGATAAGTTTTGAAAAAAACTTAATCATGTTATGTATTTAGCCATTTTTAACATGGTACCTACTCAGAAATATTTTTTAACCAAAATTAAGAGTTTCAACTTTTGTTCAATTTATTTTAATCTATGGGTCACCTTTTTGGCGAAGTGCATAATATACATAATATATTAAATAAACTAAAGGTAACAATGAATTCACTTTTAAAATGTATATCTTTCAAACCAAGGCTATACCCTAATAATTATATTTTTAATAATTGTTGTCTGTCTCATTTAAAAATTTGTATTACAAAAAGTGATGTATCTATGTTTAATGTTTAGTTATAATGAATTAATTAAGTACCTACTATGTACATACTCATGCTACTAGGTATATGTTTTCAAGTGTGATTGTAATCCCCAAATACAGAACAGAATTTCACAAGTTATATATTGTATTTAGATATATTGTGATGAATGATAATACATGACTTGATACTATATTATTAATATTAGGATATTAGTCTAATAAAAGGCTAAAAAATTATGGCAAGAAACTTACAACTATACTAGTACAATTTTAGCCACCCGCAAATAGAACCACACACACACGCACAAAAATTGTATTAAAATATCATAATGAGATCCGGTACATTTTTGACATAGGAACAAAATCTTAATGGTCTATAACATTAATTTTATTTGAATACCTTGAGAGTTCCAGCCTTCTCAACGTTTTTCACTGAAAATAGTGTTTTAGCTTATTACGGTCATAGTCAGAAATTTATCGGATCTCGTTACGATATTTATATATATAGTTTGTGTGTTTGGTTTTATCTGGGGGCGGCTAAAATGATAGTTGAAATTGAACTCGCAAAAGTAACGTATGTATTTATAGTTTGGATCTCTAAACAGACGTCAAATAAAATATTCAGAATAGTATAAAATACGTATAAGTACAAATACAGGATCTCATAGTCATCGAAACAAAAATTTGACTGCATTTTACCGCTACCACTGCAGTGTGTAGTACCTACACCTATAGTGTATTGTGTATACAATATACACATGGTAGGTTACGAGATCATAATATTATAGTTTGGAATTCGATAGTGTGTGTATGTTTTCGAAATTCACGGATATCTAAACGTACGTTAAATACAATTAAAATACCTAATCGAATAAAAATAGGTAACTACCCAATTAAATGTAATCTATAAAGCTAGGCGTGTGATATTTTAAATATACACTTAAGCATGACAAATTAAATAGGTATGTCAGCAAAATACCCGTTTTTAGACGGGTCGCGCATCCACCCTCCGCCCAGCCATGTACTGTGACGTAAGCATTTCTCCGTTTTTCATTGGTCGGCCTCCGCCGCCGCCGACGACTCCACTTCCACTTCACCGCTCAGCCATCGCCTCGCCGCGCCGCATTTGCTTTACAGAATACAGGCCCACCACTCTCATCTATATTTTTACTTTTTGATTATAATAAATACATTTTTTATTTTAAAGTTAGATATTATATGCATTTTATTGTTAATTGTTTATTAAAAAAAAAAAAATATTATTATTACCTATATACCTAATATATATTAGGTTTGTGCTTTAATTTGTATTAAGGTTTACTAGCTACATGTATTTTTATGCTGTAGTAGTATTTTTTTTCAGAGTTGAAAATATTATATAACATATTAATTCAATAATTTTTTTTTCTACAGCTTATAGGTGTGACAACATTCCTACTAGCCTAAAGTGTCAATTTTTTTTTATTAATATAATATTTTGTTTTTTTTTTTAATATATTATAAAACATGTTTTGTACTGTATGTTACCTACTATAATATATAATCATTATAATCAAAAGTATTATCAAAAGTTTAAAATTGTTATTTATCCTAGTTGTAAAAACATTACAGATCATAGGGGGATATTAGGAAAAAAAGTTCCCGGTAAAAAAGTCCCCGGTAAGAAAGTCATCAAATTAATATTTTATTTAAATCCAGTCGTTTATCATATAGGTATTTATATAGGTACATAGCCCATAGGTAATACATGTTACATATTTTTATTGAAAATAATTCTAGGATTAAAAATTATCGTAGATAAGTATTTATATACATAACTAGGTCCATTTTAAATTTATTGAAAATAATATAATATCTGAAACATATAACAATATTATTTAAAAAAAAATAAAAATGTAATTATTCAAGTATAAAAGATCTGAAAATTATATAATAGTAAATACAATTTTAACGTAGGTACATATTTTATTCAATTTTTTATTATTTTACGAGGGGTGCATGTCTGACAAATATATTTTTATATTTTTTAAATAATATTATTATATGTTTAAGATATTATATTATTATATTATTTTCAATAAATTTAAAATTTAAAATGTACCTAATTATGTATATAAATACTTATCTACGATAATTTTTAATCCTAGAATTATTTTCAATAAAAATATGTAACATGTATTACCTATGGGCTATGTACCTATATAAATACCTATATGATGAAAGACTGAATTTAAATAAAATATTAATTTGGAGACTTTTTTACCGGGGACTTTTTTTCCGTTTACCAATGTCCACGGTTAAAAAGTATTCGTAAAACACAGAAATATTCAAAAAATTACAAAATATCCAAAAATATGCAAAATAAAACTCCGTGTTCCGTATTGGCTATAATTCAAACTTGTAGCTACTTTTTGGACTATTAAAAAAAATGCAAATGCATATAAATGTTCAGACCAATCAGACCCTAATTATTAATTATACCTACCGTACTTTTTTACCGCAGTTCAATTTTACTATGTAATCAACAATTTAAATTTTAAACGCTCATTATAAAATATTAATGTGACTATATTTTAGATTCTGAGCGGAGCAATGAATGTATTGATTAAACAATTGTGTTATTTTTTATTAATGTTTGTTATTCATCACGTTTTAGGGCATTAAAAATGCTTCCATTTACTATTTTAGAATAATTTTTTCTGATAGGAAAGTGAATCTAGTTTGTGCTTTCGGGCTAACGAATGCAACTGTCATTCCCTTGAAAATCTTGAGGTATATCGAATAATTAAATGGATTTTGGTACCCTCGATGTAACAATGTTTTTTTAGCCAAAGCTATCATGATGTAACGAACTTTTAAAATTTTGTTGCTTGATTATATTACGTATTTATTATTTTTATTAAGTTCTTTACAGAATACTAAGACATGGTATCTATGTCAGTGTGTGTATTTCATATTTTAAATTTATAAAACAATTTACCGGGTAAGCACTAAGCGCAAGTGGCTACACAGAAAAAAACTGATTTAAAAACAAATAAATATGTGCCTACTGCCCACGTTATACGTATAGGTACAGCAGTGGCATACTCATGTAGGCTAACGGACCGTATTTTTATTATTTAAAAAAATATATTTTAACTATAATAAAAATGTATGTACCTACTGAGAATTTTCAATTTTGACCTACCAAAAGTACCACTTGGAACGAATTTGATTCTAAAGGTTAGGTTATATATTTAAGTAACTTAATAAACAGAGATAATTTAAATACTATTTTAGGGGAGATTCCATCATGCCCTTTTGACATTTATATATTTGACATTATAATATTTACATTCAACTATTTAAGTAATTAAATAAACACTGATAAGATCATATACAATTAAATGTATGACAAATTAAATTTGATATTTTGATATTTATATATTTGACATTATAATATTTACATTCAACTATTTAAGTAATTAAATAAACACTGATAAGATCATATATAATTAAATGCCAATCAATTACAATGTAGTATAATAGATCAATAGGGCATGATGGAATTATACTTGTGCTATTTTGTCATACTTTCATTAAATATTACAATTTTTAATAATGTTATTTAACTGTGTATGTGTTATATTCTCTTAAAAATTAAGTTACATAAATTTGTGTAAATTAATTAGTAAATACTCTGTATCTATAAGTATTTGAAAGTAAATAACAATGCCTAAGTGTGTTTTTGAAAATTGTGATAGTGGTACTAGGAAGAAAGGAAAAAATCAGATGAACCATGAAGTCCACCTGCATAGGTTCCCAAAAGATATAAATTTATGTCTTATGTGGTTGCAACAAATTGAATATGGCCAATCAATTAATGCAAAATCCATAAATATTAAAAGTGGTGAGATCATAGAACATAGACATTACAATTATTCACACATATTGTATTGTTATTTTTCCCTTACATTTACTTATTAAATTCCATCTAGCTGTTGTTTGCTCATTGCATTTTGCTCCTTACCATATCAATAAGCCATTGATACAGAAACTATTAAATTATTCACCTAAACGTATGCGAAAACTTAACGATGATGCAATTCCTCTGAGGTGAATAATATCATAGTATCCTGGTTTAATTTTTTTTTTTTTTTAGTTCCATTTAATACCAACATTTTTTTTTAATAGTATTTTTGGCACCGACTATTATGATATTCCTTTTATAAGACCAGTGAACCCTTCTACACCACTAATTAAACATAGTTGAACCACAGAAAATAAATACGCCTGCTGGAGTATTTAATGTGTAAGTTTCCTATGAATATTTTTTTTATTTTAATAATTTTTAGACACATTTAAATATCAATTGAAGTAGAATTCTAAAATATTTGTATAATAATGCTATGAATACATTATAGAGAATCTAATATTCAACATCAAAATATTTCAAAAAAGTTGGATTTTGTCAACATTGAACTAGGGGTTCAACCGTTAGTTGATGAAAGTGATGATAACGACAATCCTTCAAATAATGGTCTGATTCAGAAGTAATTTGGAAACTAATTAAATTAATAATACATATTTTGTTAATTCTTTAATGTAATAATTATGTTTATTTTTATGTAGACTAATGGAAACTGTAGATTTCTATAAAAATAAAAATAATGAACTTAAAGAGGACAAAAATAATTTACAAAATAATATTTTAACTTTACGTAAAGAGAATGAAGCTCTAAAAAATATTGTTAGTGGAATAGAAAATAATTTTGAATTACGTTTCCATTCTTTATTGTCAAAACTTTTTACGCCAACTCAAATTGATATGCTGTTACATCCTAAACTGAAAGCATATAAATGAACTTCTGATGATATTTCATCAGCTATAACATTAAGATCAGTATCTCTAAAAGCATATAGATATTTGAGGAACAAGAAATGTTTTCCTCTACCAGGTAGGGCAACTAACAATGAAATTATTTTTTTATTTTTTATAATCTTTAAATTTAGGTATGTCTACTTTGAGGACATGGGCTTCTACATTCACAATTCAACCTGGTGTTTTAACTAATGTATTAAAACTGATGAAAGCCAAAGGTATAATTGTGTAAAGAAGATCTAAAGATTTTAGACATTTAAATAATATCAACTTTGATTTTTATTTTCCATATATAAGGTGATTTTTTAACTGAGGAGGAAAAATTAACAGTAATTTCTTTTGACGAGACATATATTTCACACAGAATTTGTTATGACAAAAAATTTGAAAAAGTATATGGTCCACACAGATGCGTTCAAACCGTTGTAGCTAGAGGTAAGCAAATTAATTAATAATTTTTAATTTATATTAAATGTACTTGAATAAAATTAATTAACCTATAGGGTTATTGAGCAATTGGAAACAACCAATATTTTATAACTACGATACTTCTATGACAAAAGAATTACTTAATAACATAATACAAGCACTACATGAAAATGGTTTTAATGTGATCGCTATTGTGAGTGATATGGGTTCTTCAAATGTTGGATTGTGGAGAGATATGGGTATTTCTATAACAAATACGTCATTTAAACACCCGATGACTAATAGAAATGTACATGTGTTTGCTGATGTGCCGCATATGTTAAAACTTGCAAGAAACCATTTTCTCGATCAGTAAGTTGTCAATTAATACCTGAAATCAAACAAAAAGTTAATTATCAGTTATATTAAAATTTATAATATCACCTATGTACTCATCTAGAGGATTCATATTACCTAATGGTAAATACATCGGGAAGAATATATTGCAACAATTAATCAAGTTGAACGAATGAAATGATTTCAAGCTAGCACATAAGATTTCTGACCGTCACATTTCTGTTGAGGGTACAGCTCGAATGTACGGCTAGCTGCAAATGTATTTTCAAATACAGTCGCCAAAGCCATATTATTCTGCGGAAACAACAAATATATTAATGATTACAACTGGAAAGAAGTAAAGTTATACACTATTAAATTAGCAATTAAAAATATGTACAGGCGATCGTTTGACTAGTGTATCATTATGATTATTATTGTAAATGTATCTTGATTTGTTTTGTTATAGATATTATCAATAAGTTATTATGTCTTATTATTTTTAAAAATTAAATTAAAGCTATACTTATTAATTGTGTAAAAATATAAATAATTATGTAATAGACTCCCTACTCCCGCAACAAGCTTTGCTTACAGGGAGTAGGTATCAACTGAATATAGAAATATGTAAATATTATATAATATGTATGTAGTATATTGTAATTTGAAATAAATAAATACTAAATTAATTATTAGAATATTAATACTGACCAATTTAATCTGTGTAGGCTTCAGACACTATAAGTCTATTCAATGACTGGTTCGACTTGATGAATACCAACGATATGTTTGATAAAAATACTTCAAGCTATGGGCTCGATGAAACCAAACAAACAGAGCTTTTGAACAAAATGAATGAATTTGCATTAAACATGAGGGTTCATGGGAAAAAGTCAATGCTGCCATTCCAAAAAGGTAAAAGAATATTTGATAGAAAAATATGTTCTCATATTATTATATTAAAATAATAAACATGAATTAGGTATTGTGATTTCCAATACATCCCTCATCAACTTATTTGGAGATTTAAAAGAATATGGTATTTCTTAAAATTGTGGTATTTCTAAGCATTTCTCAAATTTTATAAATATCAGCCTACCTATAGTAATAGGTACTATCATAAAATATTTATCAAAATATCAAATATAACCAAAGCTTATGTTATATAATTGGTTTAGTGAAATGTGTGTATGGTGCAAGCGGCTTCTGTTCTGTATTAAAAAGAAGACAGCACGGAATTCAAATGGAAAATTGACAAGAACTTTTTTTTCTCCCAACAAAAAAAGAGTACTAAATAGTATTCAAAAAGCCAAAAAAATATTATTAGTGAAGTGTTGCAGGGAAAAAAAAAAAAAATAAATAAATTACAGAAAAACTTGATTAACTGTAAAAATGAAATGAAAAAAATTAATGATTCAAACCTTTCAGAAATATTGGTAAATGCTGGAATTTCTAAGTGTCAATCAGAACTAATTCATGAAATATTCTCAGCAGCAAGATTGAAAAATGCTAAAAATAGGAAATATAATGAAAATTGGATGCTTCTATGTCTCTTATTTCAAATCAGGTTTGTAATAATAAGTACTATTTTGTATATAGTTAATAAATCTTTTTGCCACACAGTTGGTAAGCTGAAGACATTTTTATTTAATTTTAATTAGGTCACCAAGTGGATATAGGTTTTTGAGAGACCAAAAAATATTACCTTTGCCATGCGTTAACACTATAAGAAAAAACAATTTTAGCTGTTAAAGTTGGTTGCGGATTTAATCCTAACTTTTTTAAACTGTTGAAAAAAAATTTTGCAAAGAAGTCTGATACTCAGAAAGTTGGAATACTTTCTTTAGATGAAATTTTTCTAAGAGAAAGTATAAATGTTAATACTAGAACATTAACATATACTGGATTGGAAGATTTTGGGAATGAAATAAATCACAAAACTACCAGTTCTGAAAAAGCAAACCACGGTTTAGTGCTGATGTGGAGAAGCCTAGCCGACAACTTTACTCAGCCTATAGCAGTATTTGCTTCCAAAGGTTCAGTCAAAGGTATGGTATCAATAATTTACAAAAAAAATAAATATTAATTAATATAATACATGATTTATTTTGATTTTATAGGTGCTGATCTTGCAAAATTAGTTACTAAATCTATATTATTGTTAGAAAATATTGGTGGTAAAGTAGTTGGTTTAACAAATGATGGAGCTACGACAAATCGTACAATGTGGAAGCTACTGGGAATAAGTACTAGTGAGGAAGATTTTAAGAACTATTTTAAGAATCCATTTGACTCATCTCGCAAGATATTTGTATTTTCTGATCCACCTCATTTAATGAAAACAATTCGTAATCGATTATTTGAGAAAAAACAATTAAGGGTATTTAAAATTTAAATTTAAATACAAGATTAAAGTACTTAGTATGTTTAATCATATCACAATCAAATGTATCTATACATTTCAGATACATCCATCAAAACCACTCATTAAGTGGGATCATTATTATAAAGTGTATAAGTATGAAGAAAATTCTTTAACAAAAGTTTGTCCTAAACTAACTAAACACCATTTTGAATTAAATAACTTATTAAAAATGAAGGTTAAATATGCTGTTCAGGTAAGTAACTGAATGTACCATTTATACCTATTAGTACCTACATAACGAATATTATTTAATGAAGATAATTATAATAATAATAAAGTTTATGTGAAATTGTATGAAAGACTGCTAAATAATAACTTTTATGATGACTTACAATTTTTTAGGGATGAAATAATTGTAATTTAAAATGATTTATGATTAATTTTAGTTATTCAGTGAGTCTATGGCTGCAGGAATTCAGTTCTATAAAAATAAAAACTTTTTAGGATTTGAAAATAGTGAAGAAACTATCAAATTCACTTTGATAATGAATAGGATGTTTGATGCCCTAAACCGAAAATTCCCCGCTGAAGGAATTAAAAAAAATTCCGAAGACATAGAGGTTTTCTAAGTGTATTTGTGTTGTTGTCTGAATTGTTAACTGCATGCTTGTTTGTTTTTGAATATTGTTTTATTTATTTACTCTGTTATAATATTAATATCTAAATGTTAATTAATTATAAAAACTATATTATGAACATTTTCATAGGATATCTACCTAACAAAGTATTGTGTACATGTTTTTTTCATATTTGTTGTATTATTTTTGACATAAAACCTAACTTGTGTTAGTTTTGTGTTTCGACATATTTTAACATAATTGTAACAGTATTAATACATTTTATATTTGTAGATTTTAAAAGAAAGTCTACGATGGATAAAAGAATGGGAATGTAATTTGAAGAATAACCTTATTTGTGATGCTGAGTTTTTAACCAAACAGACAGCAGAAGGGCTAAAAATTACATTACAATCAACTATTGACTTGGTTAATGTTTTATTAAACGATTATGGATTTAATTATGTCTTAACAGCAAAAATAAATCAAGATTGTTTGGAAGTAATACATTTTAAATAATATTATTTATTAAATATACCTAATATATTAATTTTATTATTTATATTAGTTATATAAAAAACATTATACAGAAGTTTTTTGGTATCATCAGACAAATATCTGGCCCAAATGACCACCCGACAACACCCACATTTTTACAGTTGTATAGGATGCTTTCAATTAATTCTCTAATTAAATCTCCAAAAGCTGGTAACTGTACTGTTTATTCAGGTATGTAATTAGTTTTAAATTTACCTAACCAAACCTATACACAAAAATATTTTATTTCAGAAAATGAACCTGCTATTTCTGTAAATGATTTTAAAGAAATTATTAATGACCCTTTAAATTCTTCGATTAGAGAAAATAAAATAGATCAGTTGAATGCTAAAATTGATCAAATAATTGAAAATGATATTGGCGAGTTAGAAGATATTGTAACAACAGAGCTATGTCATTCATCACTTTTGGAATCTCCTAGTTTTAACTGTACAGTTTACTATTTATCAGGGTACTAAATCTTCTTTGATCTTAAACTAATATTAATAATATTTAATAGAAAATAAGATTGTACAATATTTTATTTAATAATTTCCAGATATATAGCTAGAAAACTCTTAAAAAAAACAAAATGTGAATTATGTATAGCTGGCTTAAAAAATTTAAAAAGCAGTTCATCTCCAGAAGCAGAACTTGTTAATTTAAAGTCAAGAGGATATTTAACACATCCTAATAAAAATTTATTTCTCATTTTGAGAAGTTTAGAGTTAAGTTTTGTGAAACATGCTGGCTCTATTGATGTGTTTAATGAAACATTGTCAGATTTCCTTAGTACTCATAATCCTTTGACATTTGAATGTAATGTGCACCAAACTGATATTCTCACAGATATATGTAGCACATTTGTTATAATGAGAATGAGACAGTATACATATATTAAAAATCAAATGAATAAAAAACAAAATAAAACTAAAAAAAAATTATCAAAACTCGTAGGTACCTAGTTAAATTATAATTTACACTGAAAGGTAAGTATATTATATTATATTATACTTTATTTAATTATTATTTATTAAAATATAAAAATTATGTAATGTAACAACATAATCTATACTATATAAAGCGTGAACCCGAGGGCGCCGCCTATGCGTTAAATCCGAACCATCGTAAGAGAGAGCCAATGAGAAAATTCAATTTCCCCGGAGGGCGGTCTCCCGGCGGCGGCGGAGCCGTCGCTGCGTAATCAGCCTTTCTTATCACTGTTTCGAGATTTTTTCGAAATTTTTCGAAATTTACACTTTTTACACGATTTCGACCGTTTTCTAGCCTTTTTCGCTCATATTCATATTTGATTCGCGTAGCTCGCGATCACTCGAAGCCGCCGGTGTGCGGTTTATATCCGTTAGCCGTCCGTAGCCGTCGCAATGTCGATCGCAAAATACGCTCCCGGCCGGACTTTTTTGCCGATTTCTTTCGTTTTCTCCGACAGTTTCGTCTTTTCGCACGTCGTTCGTGCCCGAATCGTGTAATTGACGTCTTTCTTAAGCCGTATATATACGCTTTTCTTACGAAGTCGGTCGGTTCGCTTCGCAATCGCGTTTAGAAATTACGACCGACCGTACGCGTATATATACATGTATGTACGTGTATAATTTAATTTTTGCCTATTGATTTAATAATTATTAACGGAAAATGCTTTTCACTCGCTCCGTTAAAT